GAAATCTTAGGATTCCTCTTGTAAGAATGTTATCAATGGAAAGTTATGAAATCCGCTCATACGGTGGACTTGCCCTGTGTGAGATTATAAACAGGAAATGCTTGACGCAATGCCTCAGAGATACTTGAGAGGTCACCCTAACAACCTTCAACAAATTGAAACAGGCTAAGCAAATGGATCACTAATCAAATCAATTTCCTCCTGCAAAATTGATTTGGAATTGAAAGGGAGAGATGAGTTGAGCGTGATTGGTATTGTTAAGCCAGAACATCAAGTTGATGAATAGCAGCCATTAAGTTGCACTGTACAAGACAGAACGTTACAACAGGAGGGATTACCTGCCCAAGTGATTGGAGTTAACAAGGGGAAGATATAGGCCAGGGGGGAGAGAAAGTGAAGGATTTGGAAGGATTCAGAAGACCTGGCTGATGGCCAATCCTTGATCTGAAACTTGAAAAAAAAGCTGGAAAATCGAACCCCAAGGCCCAAACTAGTATTATGCATATCAGATGATGGCATGCTATCTACCGGCCATATCATTATACCATCTTGACCCCACTCCCTTCTAGCCCTGAAGATGTTCCCTAGCTGGGTAACGAAACGTTTGCAAGAAAACAACCAAGCTCAGAGAACCCCAAGGACTCCACAGTTCAACCCTGAGCTACAGATATTCTCATCTGTTGTGACTTTCTTTAACCATACCCTACGATATCCCTACTCTTTCTCTCTCTCTTTGCTAGCTTGCAAGTCTACTATAAGTAGATCAGATTAGAGGTATCAGGTTTGACCAGCCTGTTGTAAAGGTTTCTAAGAGACTGAATTCAGCCAGATGGAAGACGACCCTCATTTGAGCTGATTCCTGAGAAGGTTGATTGGACCCTCAACTATGATCCACATAGGTTAAAAACCCTCTACGCTGTTCTATAAGAAGATTAGGCAAAAGCAAATGCTTGCAGGTGGTACAACTCACAGATATAATATGCAGAAACCTCTTGGCCATTTTGAATCCCCAGCTAGTAACAACCTGAATGCTGATAGGCTGGAAAGTTAGCTATGATTTTTTTTTGGTCAACAATGCATTGTCTGGAAAAGTTTGGGAATTGCTGCTTGCGGAATACTAATGGGATTTTTATTCACTTTATTTTAAAGATGTTAGATCAGGGATTTCTCCCTCCTCACCCCTCCCTTCTTCCATGCTTTATCGCCTGGATGATTTATTCTTCTCACCATTATTGAAAGCCAAGGAGTGATTTCTATAGCTGAAGTCAGCTGTTCATGAATTCCAGCAGATGTTTCTATTTCCATGGTACTTTGGGCCTACGGGGTGTGGGGCAGGGAGGGAATTGCAGCTCGCCTCTGTTGGGCATCATTTTATCTTTTTAAGTCACGAGCATTTCTCTCCCCAGAATGATCAAGCTGGGCCACTAAAGTAGCAAAGGGTGAATGCGTGGAACTGGGGGAATAATAATATTTTGTGGGTTGTTGTGTTTTAAAAAGGAACAGGGCGAGAGGAGGGGTGCAGAAGGTTTTACACAGATGACTTCATTACTTCTGGCCAGCTTAGTAAAAATGGAAGGTTACAGAAAGAGCAGTGCACCAGTGACATTGAAAAATTGGATTTTATGCCAACCCGCCAAGCCAAGTTTCTGAGGCTGCTGGATCAATTAGTGCAGTCACAGTGAAGTTTGTGCTTCATCATAGGAATGTATCTAACGTTGTTCAAGGTGGCATTATGAATTCAGCAGCGTTTAGCCCTCAGCTCCTCCAATCGGACTGTCAGCTCTTCCACTGAGATGCTTCTTATGAGAGATCTACTATTAGATTCCCCTCCCATCTGCTTAACTATGGTTCCTCCTATTTCTTTTTCAGCCTCCTCAGAATCTCTTACCTGATGGTAGGGCCAAGCCCTATTGCAAACTCTCAGTTGCAGGAATCTGGGAATCTGTGTCCCCATATTGCAGCTGAGAGTAAATAATTCTGTGAAACCACTTTGGAAAAAAGAGAAAGAAGAGAGGCCAAAAATGGTTGGAGGATGGTGGTGATGCAGAATGATCCCATTAACGGAATGTAGACCATTGCCAAATTAAATTAGTTTAATAAAATAACTGTTCTGTGCAGATAGGGCTGTGAAGAACACTTTGTAATGTTCTGAAGGCCTGCCTTGTGGCATATGTTATGAGGAAGGAAGGAAGGAAGGAAGGAAGGAAGGAAGGAAGGAAGGAAGGAAGGAAAAGACAGAGAACAGGAGGGAGGGAGAGAGGGAGGGAAAAGTTCCACACTAGGAATAGAATAGAATAGAATAGAATAGAATAGAATAGAATAGAATAGAATAGAATAGAATAGAATAGAATAGAATAGAATAGAATAGAATAGAATAGAATAGAATAGAATAGAATAGAATAGAATAGAATAGAATAGAATAGAATAGAATAGAATAGAATAGAATAGAATAGAATAGAATAGAATAGAATAGAATAGAATAGAATAGAATAGAATAGAATAGAATAGAATAGAATAGAATAGAATAGAATAGAATAGAATAGAATAGAATAGAATAGAATAGAATAGAATAGAATAGAATAGAATAGAATAGAATAGAATAGAATAGAATAGAATAGAATAGAATAGAATAGAATAGAATAGAATAGAATAGAATAGAATAGAATAGAATAGAATAGAATAGAATAGAATAGAATAGAATAGAATAGAATAGAATAGAATAGAATAGAATAGAATAGAATAATGGTCCTGCGTTGATAGAAATGAGTCTGTTTAACATGGAGAAAAACAACAGCATGAGAACAGTCTTCTAATTTCAAAAGAGTGATTATTAGAAGATAGGATGGACTTCTCTCTTGTTCCAGAGAACATGGCTGGAACCACTGCAAGAAGCCAAATAGTTTGGCCAAAAATTAGGGGAACCATCCCGTTGGTAAAAGATGTTCCAAACTTGAACAATCTTTCTTGGAGATGACATCACAGGAGGTGAAACAGAGGATGGGTGGCCATCTGGCAAAGCCTGAAGTGACCATAGCAGTGGGTTAGATGCAGCCATAGCTACTGCAAGATAGTAGGACCCAAGAGCCAGGGAATAGAGTAGATATCCTTCATTAAAGATGTCCTCCTTGAAAGCCTGGAGTAAAAAACCCTGAACTAGATACATCTTCATGGCATTTCCAACCCAAAAGCCGAATGTAAGTAAAATGAGAACTGAGCAACGTCAGAATGTGAGGATTCAGCAGATGCTGGAAAATACAAAATACTCATGATGGCCACACACTTATGAGTCTGTGAGATCATAAATGGGATTGGAAGTCACTGCCCAAGAGATGACAAAAGTATCTCCCTATACTTTGAGTTCTCTTTAGGAAGATCTTGCTTTGCTTCCTACCATCTGCCCTGTGTACATCTAGGACTGAACTGGTGGCCATGCACAGGAAAAATGCTACGAGAGTTTTGCAAATCAGCTTTCCACTCACATCACTTCAAACAACACGATAAATAAATGGATCATTGCTTTAGTGCAGTGGACAGAAGACAGCACCCTTTTAGATAAGAGCAAAATAAAAGAGAATTAAGGTTTCTATCTGAACATGCTTCCCCCTGTACCCTTGATACATCTGTTTCTTTCTTCCCTGTGAATGGGAAAACAGGGGAAGATCCTTCGGTGACATATTGCACAATTCCCAGTGTCATGCCACGCTTACGGCTGATGAGCAAACAAACCTCATTAGAGAAAGAGTTCATTGGGTGGGTGATGGACCAAGTCCTGGGGAAGATCTCTTCTTCCATAAAGGGGAGGATGAGCAGCTGAGCCAACCTAACTGCTTTTCTATACAATAATTTGAAAAAGGACTCTTTTTTGTGTTATAAAGGACAACTTCTGATTACACAGCGAGATACTTATTTCAGGATCTTAAGCTATGAAGATTTGTTCCCTTCATCTGTCTAGCAAATGTAGTGCTGAGAGCAGTTGGGAACCAGAACCAATTTGTGAGAAAAGATGGTGGGCTGTCCTTCACTGGAGATCTTCTGCTCAAAAGCTCTGAACAAGCAGAGACAAGATCAAAGCATCTCACTTTGCCTGCAGAGACCCATTGCATCTTTCCAGTGATCTCTTATCAAAGAAGCATCAGGAAGGAGAAACAAGGCCAGTTATTTCTTTAAAAGCCCCAATGTATTTTGAATAAGCAACTCTTCATCAAAGAACAAAGAAGCTCAGTTGGACAAAGCACCCTGTTTCTCACCATAATGGGGCAAATCACAAGAAACTATGGAGCAAAGCCACAAACTGTCCTAGCTAAACCTTATATTGGTGTATAATATTCAGATATGTTGCCTCTAACCATAATTAAGGTTCTATTAAAACATACAAGGTCCATCTAGATGGGCTCCTGATGCTAGAGGGGAAGCAAGAAAACTGATTCTTGAAAGCTCACAATCGGGACATGTGAATCCTTCCTTCCTTCCTTCCTTCCTTCCTTCCTTCCTTCCTTCCTTCCTTCCTTCCTTCC